AAAACATGCCTTACTATAGCCTTATGAAAAAATGCAAAAAAATGCTTGTGATCGGATAACGATAATTGTGCTTTAAAAGTGGAAGAATGTGGTAGTACTTTTCCGCCAGGTGAGGGTCATGAAATGGCACTGCGTCAAGGCACAGAGAAAAAGGTTTTCTATTATTATTACGATGGTACATATTTCTGGTTCTCTTCATCTTGGCGATTAACGCATCATGTGAAGGACCAGTATTCCACCGAGCGTGTGGAGGGTTTTTTTTAAACCATCCTTGCAATTTGTAGTGAATTGTAATGATGAGACATCCATGAAGAATACGACACACTATTGTCGAGGGTACCAATTTACACGTTTTCATTATTTATGTATGAGTGTGTGAAATGAAATTGATTCAGTAATTCTTTTCCGGTGTAGCAGCAGACCCGTATGGCCATCACCTGGGCAGGTGGACTTCACGACGCCAAGAAGTCCAAAGCATCTGGTTTCTGTTACAAGTCAAGTTTTTGAAATGAAACTTTTCGACAGCGTTTACAGAGTGTTGTGAAATGTTTACAGGACATCAGGGCTGGAAAGAGCAAATACTACGCAGTAAATTACCAACGATTACCCATCTTTAAAAGTATGTTTTACCGTTAGTGTGATTAAGTTTTATTTTTCACCCAACTTCTCTGTGGACACGTTTTTAAAATGTGCATCTTGGGTTTAGATCATGGCCAAAGTAGTGGAGATGTACCAGCCGAGCGCAGTGGTCCTTCAGTGTGGATCCGATTGAACCTCACTATTAAAGGTATGAAATGAAATGGATCTAAGCCTAGTGCTAGATGGAGCTGTTTTTGACTTTGTACAAATAAAGTATTTTTATTTGTTACTTGAATTGTTATTTCATCTTATTGTTGAATGTGAAAATCTTGAGTACTAAGTAGTGGTTATTTGAAGTGTTTTGTAACATGCTAGTGCTAAACACTTTGAACACGGTGTAGTCATCTGAGAGCATTTGTATGGAATGTTGTCAGTTTCATCTTGTGTTCCAGGCCAAATGAAGAGGTTTAACCAAGTTGTTCCACTCCTGATGATGGGCTCTTTGTTGAATCCTGTGAGCACATGTGGTTGACAGAAGTGTTGTGAGTATGTGATCTGTCCAACTTTAGTTGAACTGTTAAAGTAAAGCTAAGAGTTACTGTTGTAGTTTGACTTGTGTTGTTTTGAAATGTGTATTTTTAATGTGTTTGGAGTTGAATACATGTTTTGGAAATGTGAAGTGTTTTGCTAATAAGAGTAAAAAGTTGTTGTTGTTCTGTTCATTGTGGAAGTGTTCTGGTTGGGTTTTAGCTTACTTTACTTTTTAAGTTTTTACATAACACACTAAAAACAAACAAAAACAACTAAGAAAAACAAACTAAGAAAAACGAAATAAAAAAAGTTTGTTTCTTTTTCTTTCTTTACCTATACCATAGCCTTGACTTTGACAATGCATGCCCAAAAAGGCAATGAGAAATCCCATTCATATTGCTCAAATATCTGGAAATGTGCAGTGTTTTCAACCATTTTCTTTATTCTGTAAGGTTTACAGTCACATACAGCTCACAATCAAAGTGCAATGGCCAAAAAAATGACTAAGTGTTGCCAAAAAGTGACACTGTTAAGTACCTGACAATAGCATTAAGGCACAATGAATAGAATGAGCTTGAATGAACACTTTCCTCAAGCAATTACACAATTCAGTAAAACACTCACAAGTCCAGCAAACAAGTGATCTACTTCAAACAAAGTTGCTCATTCACTCTACCTGGCAGAGTCCAAGCTGCTGTGTTCACAGGCCTTCTCCTCCATTGTTCCTCTATCTGTTAAGACAATAGCATACAAGGCACAATGAATGACAACAATGAGCTGGAATAACACAATCAAAAGATATCTGTGTAGGTTTTCAGTCATTTAATCCAAAAATAGTTACATTGAGGGCAACCAGACAAAGTAGTTTTTTTCCTTTGAAGATGTTTCAGTTCACCTCTTGAAACATCTTAAAAAAAACCTACTCCATCCAGTTGCCCTAAATATAACTATTTCTGTAACAATCAAATGCTGTGTTGGTCTCATTTACTTCTTGCCGTCAGGGTGGAAAGCCACACAGTTGATGGGACCAAAATGACCTTTGACTCCTGTCAAACTGCTCCTCGTTCACAGCTTGGAAGAACCTGCAGATTAGAAGAAAACGTCACTGTGTCACAATATGTTAACACAAATAAACAGGTTTTCCTCACAAGCAGCTACAAAGTAGTCACTTCCACCACAAATACACACATTTGTCATTGTCCTGTCCTGGTCCCGGCTTCTTCGGTGCTAATGCTAACACCACAATGAAATAAGATACATTTTCTTCTTTTGTTCAGATGAAGACAACAGTCACTGGATACTTTATTCAACCACACAATTATACTCTGGAAACACAACTTCAACTCTACTGGCCTCAAACTTGCCAATCCTGGTGGAAGCTGTGGTCACTCCCATGGCCTCCTGCCCACCTCCCATAACCATTGCACAGCGGCAACTCACGTGATTGGAGAAATGGCGGCAGAGTTCACCTGTCTCTTGGCTTTAAAAGTCTTGATGTGATCCAGAGAGGCAGAGTCAACACACAGCACTCAGTCATTTCAACATCATCAGTCCACCATTTGGATTCCAAAACAAACAAATCATTTCATTTTTACTCCACTGTGTGGCTGATGTAGAGCTTTTAACAGCATCACAGGCAGCTTTGAACTAAGTCAACTCAGTCAAGTCACTTAGCCTTATTGGACTGCCATCTGTCAACAGTAAACAGTAACACAAAACCGTAACCAACGGCTCATTTCTCCTAAGATGTACTACAAATATTCTAAAATCTATTTAATACACAAGTCAGTGGATTCACATTACAAGGTCTGTAGTGTGAACAGACTGACCAACACACCTAGACTGAAGGGAAATGTCATTGTAAATAAATGGGACAAGTGAACACACCTACTACTGTGTGGTTTTTTGGGGTCTCTTCTTATAACCCCCAGCAAATTGTCAATGTTTACTTCAGTTTACACATACTTGTATAACAAACTATGAATAAATACTGTATCTTCAAATACATTTCTGTTGTTCTACTTTGGAGCAGGGGTCTCAAGCAGAAATGACTGGAGGGTCACCTCCCAATTCCATATGTATATAAATAGCAACAAATCCAAGAGTTGAAAGGAAAACAATAACTCTTTCCTTTGTTGAAGACAAATCGTTAGACAACTGGACATGAAATTTTCACTCAACAGAGGAGGTGGGCTAAAACAACCCACATACCAAAACCATTCTGATGAGGATTACAACGACCCACCAGACTCCTAACGACTGTGTTCCCCCAACGGCCCACCCGACAGGAGGGACCTGAAGTAGCTTTATTTTTTGTCACACCCACAGTATATATTTGCTGTACTCCCACCAGCAGTTACAACTGAAGAAGCCTCTTGGATGAGAGGCGAAACGTCTTCTTGAGAAAATGTCACGTCCAGTTGCCTAACAGAACTCTAACATTGGCCTGGATGACTGAGAATCTTCAGAGACAAATCTTTTCTTAATTCGCCTTTAAAAACTAAATACTCAGGTTTCATTTTTTAAGGTTAAAAACAAAACTCTTCTCCGGGCGTTCTCCTTGACGGCCACCCAGGTGTCATTCTGATTACTTTATTAATAACATTTTTCAACAACTGTTTCACATCAATCATTTACATACGAGTTCTCACCTTGGTGGTGTTGTTCTTTGAAGCACTGATGAACATGGTGATGTCTACAGACGTCTGGATGGCGTTGATGTGCCTGCTGTGCTCCTTAGCTTTCTTCAGGACTTCTCCGGAATATTGACAAATAAACTACGAAAAAGAAAGAAACAAGCTCTACAAAAGATGCTGTCTGTGACTCATAATTTCCTTCAATATTTCATTTCTATAATACTGTGTGCAAACTAAAACCGTCTTTAGCAGTAATCAGGGAGCCGTGTACTATCTGCAGTCATGTTTCTTTTACGGTATTAATTTGTTTACGTTGCGTGTGATGATTACATACCGATCTGTGGATCCCTCAGGTCGAACAACTTCATGAAACACTGACAGCCCCTCTGGTTGTCTGTGGAAAACATGATGATGTTGCTGCTGAAATCCAAGCTGTGTGTTCTGACGGCAGAAGGAACACGGAGCAAAAATTAAACTCCAACATATAAAACACTTCACAGGAAATTATACAAAATACAAAGGTCAAGTCCTTATTTACCACGACAAATCTATATTCATTATTTAGGACAAAAAAACTCCTACTCGTAAAAACTACGACTCATTTTAATTTCTGACAAAAGCTAACGTTAGCTGCCGAGACACATATGCTAGAGTAAATTGCACGAACGGTCTCGACCAAACGATTACAATTTCATACAAAATACAACCGACAATTGTTTGCAAAAACCTACCATTTTAATCAATCAGACGTAGCCACAGTGCCCAGGTTTTTGACTTGAACGCCTACTGGAAGCCCAAACCGCTAACACTCGCGTCTCAGGCTCGTGATCCGCAACCGGAAATACGAACTGTACAACGTATTCCTACTTCCGTTATACAAACGTTCCATTATCAGCGCGCCCCCTACAGATGATCGCTGACATTTACATTATTTTTTTTTTAGTTGGTTTAGTCTCTATCAAAGTTTTTTCTTTGATAAAAAGAGCGAAAGTGAATAATTTATGCTAAAAACACTAAAAAATAACATATTTAAAAATGTCAAAATATCACCAAAAACAAGCAAGACTATAGTCTTACTATCACGAAAAAATCCTAAAAAATATAAAGTCCCAGAAATGCAAAAACAGGAAAAGATAATATTTTAAAAAATAATTTTCCAAAAACTTTCGTCAATTTATTAGAATTTGACCATTAGATTAGATTAGACAAAAAGTTTAGATTTTGAACAAAATTTCTAAAAACTAACTTTTTAATATCTGACCAAAAATGACATGCTAAATTTAGATTTTATCGAATATATACTGTATATATATAAATTTCTAAAATTGGACTCGACTTGAGACTAGTCAGTCTAGACTTGGGACTTCACTTGGGAATTGAAGGCAAAGATTTGAGACTTACTTGTGATTTGCAAAACAATGACTTGATCCAACCTCTGCCTGCGGTCACGAAATACATGGCTGGATCAAGCCCAATGCAGCCAGGAAAATTCCAGACAATGCAATGTCACCTGTGTGTGAATACGTACCTGTGAACACTCACTCGCTCTGGGGCTAGCGAGAGATCGAGTACAGCTGCGAGATGGGCTGACTGAAATAGATCAGAGATGGTGCCACCTTCTACCAAGTATTTAATGGGAAGCACTGGTGTAAAGCGTGGACATAAAATAGTATTTCACTGTGGCCCAGGTAGAGATATGTCTTTATTGAAATGTCTTTATTGGTTAGAAAACTTCTGGTGGAAATCAAAAATTATATGTTGATAAACATGAATGCAGACTCTTTAATTCAAACTTTAATGTTAAAATAAATCAATGTATTTCCTATTTTTTAACTCTTGACATAAAAACCTAAATAGAATGAATGATTTATTTAAAAAGGCCAGTGCTATTCTTCTCTCTCTGCATGTGTCTGCAAAAACGAATGCACAAAAACATTTTATTTCACATGTTTACTTGAACTTCAATAGCAATACAAGACAGTCATAACACTGGAGGTTGAAATGTACAAAGAGTCTGGGGTTGGCAGAAAATTCTTGAGGTTTTATATAATGTTAAGAGTTCTGTTGTTATTACAAACTTCATGAAAGTTCTATGACCAACAGAAACTGGCAAGTGGGTCTTGGGGAGGGGGCAGAGGTTTTGTCTTTGTTTGAAATGCCACTGTTCAAGAGTTCAGAGTTCAGTAGCTGGATTTGTGTGTAAGATATCCCTGGTTGATCTTGATAAAATGTTTAACTTTGATACATTAATTATACAAGAATAATATATATACACACCTTCTCTCTCTCTCTCTCTCTCTTTCTTTCTGCCCCCTCTCACTCCTACTCACACACACTTACCCCCCCCCACCCACTCCCACACACACACTCACGTTCACACTCACAGATCAGCTTTTCCTCTTACAGCATGTAGCAACGTAAAGCCACTGTAAAGTCATGCACATATTTTTTGAAAACATTTTTGGCAACAAACAAGTGTTTCTCTGACACACTGTTGGCTTGTTACAAGAGGGCGACAACTAGTTGTTGATTTGTGAAAAAAAAAGACAGAGGGGCCAATAAGTATTAACACTGATAAAATGGAATGGGAAGCCACATAGGAAAGGGGTTGGAAGAGCAAGAGAAGGAAGGGGGGGGGGGTCAAGAGGAGGAGGAGCGTAAGACAGAAATGAATCACAGTCATTAAAAAAGTAACAAATAATGGACGGGGGAGTCACGTGGTGATCAGGTGACAGAATCAGGGAGGAGTCATTACTTTCGCTGTCATCATTATTATCTTTATCTTCTACATGTTAATCTCAGCATGATTTTTTTCTGTGATTATCATCATCTTTCTTCTCCTCCACATTTTCTTTTCCCTGATCACCACCGCCCTAGTCACAGACTCGTCACACGCTGCATCTGACCGTCGTCTCCCTCGGAGGTGGTTTCTGCTGAGTACACTGCTTCTCCATTGGATGACAGTGGCGGTGGCTGGTAGAAAGTCTGCAGATGATTGGGTCGTGGTCCCACCGGGGGTCTTCCTAGGCTGTAGGGCAATTCCAGGACAGGTCGGTTAGGTCGGTCAGTAGGGCTGACCTCGTCTGGACCTTCGGGGCTGCTGTCAGGGTAAGAGAGTGTTGGCGGGGTGCGGGTGTAGAAGTGGGGAGGGGAGCAGCTTCGACTATAGATGTTGGCGGAGTATATGTTGTCAGGGGATGAGTCAGTGTTTCGTGCAGCAAAGATATTTGTAGGTGGAGAACTTTGATTGAAAATACTCAGTGGCGGTGGGCTTCGGTCCCCTGGGTAAAGAGGGGAGGAGTTAGAATCTCTAGCGTATATTGGTGAAGAATCAACATCCAGGTCGAGATCTGGGGTCAAGGGCAAAGCAAAGCTATCTGAGTCTTCTTTCTCACCAGGATAC